CTACGACGAAAGCGACAAACCCCTGAAGTCTGAACATTCACTCGAACTTCTACGACATTGCCTTAAAACTTGGGCTCCCCCTATCAGCCCTGATTGCTGAAGTATTCCTCCAACGGATAGAACACTTGGTCTTCGACAAGTATCAACCAAATTTTTGGGCTCGTTATGTCGCTGACACTTTCGTCATTGTCAAACCCCCTGACATCGAGCACCTCAAATATTTATTGAACTGGGTTGATCCAAATATTCAATTCACGATGGAAGCGGAAAGAAGCAACCAACTATCCTTCCTCGATGCCATTGTGCGCCGATGCTCAACTGGAATATTGGAAGACGCAGTATTCAGAAAGGCCACTGGCACGAATCAAATGCTACATTTCAACAGCAATCATCCCATTTGTCACAAACGTAGCTGTTTTCATACTCTTTTCCAAGAAGTGGAAACATATTGCAGCACATCAGCCGCCAGAAGGGCTTAACAACAGTACCTACAGTAACTCTTTCGAACAAATGGATACCCAAAGTCATTTATCACACACAGCAGGCGCCGAATGAACAGACGACGGCCAGTGCAGTAACAACCTGAAGTCTGGAGAGCCAGTTCCAACATAAAAGCGGTCTCCGAAGCAGTCTCACAACTGTTGCAACCTACTGGCTTAGGCATTGCCCATCAACCCCGGGTGACAAAACGTCGGCGGGTGATGCAACCTAAAGAAAGACTGCCTCCTACAGAAACCTTTGCAGCTGTCTATAAGATACTTTGCAACGAGGGAGACTGCAATTACGTTGGAGAAACAGGCCGCAAATTGCAGACCTGCTTTCACGAGCACAAACTGGCAGCTCGGAGACTAGACCCAAAATTTCAACTTGCAGCACACGTCGCAGAAACTGGCCATGACTTCGATCTTCAATGAGCAACCACTATAGGCCGAGGAAAGTCAAAAATCCGAAAGGCTGATGCTTGAGGCATGGTACTTAGATGCTAAATCCGTAAACAAACATCTATACCTCCCCCCGGCCTACAAAGTCTTGCTCTATTATGAGAGCGAATGACAAAACAAGACCAAACCGAACGTAAGGATTGCAAACGAAGAGGATCCCACGACGAACCGGCCAGAAAAGGAGGCAGGGTTACCAGGACCCTCTACCGGGTGACAAGGCGCCACACTAATTGCTGTTCATGACTTCGGTTCCGCTGACAGCTAATTAGCGTACTACACTATAATTGCCCCACTGACTCCACTGACAGCTAATTGCGCTCTTCCTCAATCCCTTTTGATAGCTGTTTCTAACCCTTTGACAACCTGATAAGTTCTGACAGTTGATTGGCCTATGGCCACTATAATTACCCTCTTTTTGGTTGCTACTTCCCATCTTAGAAGATGGACTCCTGTAAGATTTCGAAAGCTCAGGACAATAAATCAATTGATCCGATGCTCGACACGCCTTCTTCCTTATCCAGTCATTGTTTGTTTCACCTCTGGGCTCGTTGGTCACAGAGACATTTAGCGGCCCCGACTGCTACGGATCGCCGTCGCTGCGAACCCCGTTGGCCGTCTGTTGCACCACCTCGACTGGCGCCTTACCCTAGCTGGTTTCAAACGTTGGCCGACGGGATAATTAGCGGTTCCAATTGTTTCACGTCGTGACTTTCCTCTGATAAGAAGGCTCGCAAAACCAGATAGGGGGTAGGTAGATGGGAGGGGTGCATAACGAGAGCCATGAGCCTGAGTCTACCGGCTCTGACGATGCCTGCACAATACACCTATCCTAAAAGTCAGAAATCAAGTAATTCTATCCCGGTCAACGCTCTTCCCACTCTTGACTGGGTTGGAAATCGTTGCCAGGCTAGTTGTGTCACTTGTTAACGGACTGAGTTGTCAGCTCGAGTGGCAACTTTCCGGTCGACGACTGTTAGGCAGCCGTTGTAGTTTGCAAACCCATCAGATAACGCACGCTCGGCCTCATTTATGCTTATTTGGGGGTTTCATGAAAAGGGAGCCAGGTCAGCTAAGCATGACTATGTGCATCATGGTCGGTGTGCTGCCAACGCTCGCAAAACACGGACGCGTCGAAGTAGCAAACTACTGCACAACAATCCTAACCCGTCAGCACATTCTAACCCTAACAATCGCAATGTACCGGATACGGGTTAAGTAGGCAGTCTCCTTTCAAGGAAGAGAGGAAGATGCGACCCCTAGAACAAGCGTTTTACTCTCCTGACGCTTCATATTCCGTCGGGAATCCTTAATCATAGGTAATGGTATAATAGTCTGAGTCATGCGCAGATAGGCATCCTTACTGACAAGAAGACGACTCGATCGCTGGGACTACACGTTTATTCGCCTGAC